TTCTGAGCWGCTGCTCAGACCACGTGGTACAAAAATAGTTTCTGAATGAGTGACTCCTCGAACAAAGCCAAGTTTATTTTCCCTGTAGCTACTACGAAATACAGTAAATAGAAGCCTTGGACTGAGTAAACTCATAAGTTTAACCCTCCTGGAAAGTTTAAAACTTAAATTTGATTTGAAACCATTTTCAAGCTTTTAAACTGAAAAGTTCTTGTGTGTGTGTGTGTGTGTGTGTAGGATGAAACCCAGTTCTTTCATCTGATTTTTATGTTCCTTCTCCCAGATGCCACGACGGTTGGCAGGATTAGGGGTCATTTTGTGGAGAGGTCATCCAGAGAGCTGATAAATCAACTCCTGGATGACCTTTACGCGGACGGCGTCCTGAACGAAGGGGAGAAAGACTCCATCCTTGAGGTGAACAAGAGCCGAGCAGACAAGGCMCGAGGGCTCGTCGACTCGGTGAAGAAGAAAGGAAACGCAGCCAGCGCCAAGCTGATCCAACACCTCCAGAGGAGAGATCCCATGCTCTCCTCCGAGCTGGGTTTATAGTCAGGTGAGGTGTTCCTGTACAGACAGGGTCTGGCACTTTTACACACTCTAGTATGGCTGACAGGAGGTGCACACATAGCAAACAGAAAACTAAGTCTACACCCTGAACACATCATCTTCACTGTGAAGCATGGCGGTGGATGCATCATGCTGTGGGGGGGGATGCCTTCCTTCAGCAGGAACAGAGACAAAGATCAGAGCTGAGAGGAGGACRGATGGAGCTGAAGACAGACCAGTCCTGCAGGAAAACGTGTTTGAGTAAAGACTTTGAAGTTGAAGTTTATAATTGTAACGTGACCAAACGTGGAAAAGTTCAACAGACAGACATTTTTAAAGGACTGTGTGGACAAACGTTCAGGCAATGATGTGTTTTGTGGCTTCAGAGTGTTCAGGTTTGCTTTTGACTTGTTCTGACTTGTTAAAAACTATTTTCAAACATTTCAAAGAGTCTACAATGACTCTTCATACCTACAGAATTTCAGCTGATGACTATTAAAACCTGAATGTCTAAACCTGACTGATGGTCCATTTTTCTTTTATTGTTCTAAGATGATCACAATTCTGCTTATTTACTCCACTGACCACAGGTTTTCAGTGGCAATAAAGGTATAATTTAGATTTTTTTGAAGTGGGGTTCTGTGGGAAAGTTATGAACAATAAGTATCTTACCAGTCGTAGACAGCTTTTTAAACAGCCTTTGGAGAAATTGAGTTTAACTCTGACCAGAGTGATGAGCTATCGACTCAGACAAAAGCATTTTTGATGCTTTTAACACCCACTTTTTAAAAGTTTTTTAAAAGTTCACAAAGGAAAGAGTTTGTTCAGTTGAACATTATGGCTCACTGGTGAGACTTTATACATCAACAAAGTGCAAAGGCTCAGTGAAATGAGCTCTAAGAATCACAGAAGGAGCAACAAATACATCAGAAACCACCAGGGTGCAGAAATGAATCATTTGTTGTGTTTTGCTGTTTCCAGCCCCAGTGATCCTGGAGGAATGAGATTTGATTCATCCTGACTGCCGAGGCTGTGTGGAGAGAAGAAAACCAACAGCTGAGATCTTCARCATCACTTATACTGCAATTTTATTCAAAGCCACAGTGTATCATCATGTCTGAAATGTAATAATTGTACGAGACATAAGTCTTTTAACATTTAAATGTTCTCAAAACAAAGAAAATAAATTTACATGGTTTATAGTTTTACAGAAATGACACAAACGGTTGCTTCTTGGCATAAAAAATATTTTTTTTTGTAGTTGTCATAACTAAGTTTTATTATGTTAAAACTAACTGACTGTTACTCAAACCTCAGTCTCATTCATTATGTCATTGATCTAGTATTGTTTTATGTACAAAGAGAAAATATTAATGTAGATGGGAGTGAGGGGAAATAACTAAAAATGGTCAGGTTTTATATTAAAATAACATTATGTCGTAACATAATTCTATTTATTCACATGCTAATGTTCCTGAAAGACAAAAAAAGTTTTTATTTTTGCTTTAAGAAAAAATTATTACTTCACTAAAAGCATTATCAGGCAAATTACAATATGATTGATTCACTTATATTTAAGTGTTTCCAACCACTATAATTTCTTATATTTGACTCTTTTGGCAACAACATTAAGTATTAACATTATAAATATTCTTTACTGTATAAATAGTGAATAAAGGTGGGAATATACCAAAATAGATTTTAAAACTTTCAATTTTTTACAGTTAATAACAAGTAAATATCATTATACTATTTTCTGTTGATATTCTTTAAAAATGTTATATTATTGATATATTTACTAAAATGTAAAACTTATTTTAGTTCAGTTGTAGGAATTAGAAGCTTTTGTAATATCAATAACTCGCCGCTAGGTGGCGGAAGAACCCTTACACAGTTTCCCCCTCAAGAACAAAACAACATTCTTTTAGAAGAAGAAGAAGAAGCTGTCAAATAAAATGGCTGAGGGACGAAGTTAGCTACTGGCTAATATCAATATACACCAAAAAGCAAACCAAAAGGACATCGACTTTACCCGACAATCGTTGAGACGAATGAAACTGTATGTTTCCAAACAATTCATTCAGACATAATATAGCGAAAGAATGACAACAACGTCACGTTAATCTAGCTTTAATAAGCTTAGTTAGCACAGATTAGCTTAGCTCGTATTACCGATTGACTTGATTAAGCTATCCAGCACAAACACCCATCTTTATTATTATGTTAAGTTATCAGAAATGATAGGTAGAGTGTGTCTCTAGGGGAATAAGATAATGTCGTAACTTAATTTGAGAGTTAGACTTAATGTTTGAGAGCTAATGCTAACTTGGCTTAACGCATTCATCTGTAAACTCTACTAAATCTTTTTTTCCTTCTACTAAATCTAACTGCATCTTATTATAAAACGTGTTTTTGAATTTTTTTTTACTGAGCATCTCAATAAAAAAGATGCAAGCTTTTACTTCTTGTTGAAATAAAACCTAATGTTAAGAATACTAAGCAGCCTGTATGTTTACAACTAGGCTTGATGGGAAGAAGGAAAATCCTACTTGTTTCTTCATTTAAACAGCAATAGTCGTACTTCAAAGTGCATTTTCTGCAGATTGACTCTCTGGATGTGCTTGTTCTTTCTTCCTCTCCTTGTCCCCTCCAAGAGTTGTCCTTTACTTTGAAAGAAGATGAGCCAAAGGCGAGGCATCCACCTGGACCAATCAGAACTGCTCTGCAAGAAAGGATGTGGGTTTTATGGCAACACAGCCTGGCAGGGCCTGTGCTCAAAGTGTTGGCGAGAGGAAAATCAGCGAGACAAGCAAAAGCAGATTCAAGAAGACTGGGCACTCGCAGAGAGGTTTGTCTTGCTCCATTATTTTGTGTTGTTGAAAATTCAGAGTGTCAAGTAGTGTCCGACTTACCTATCAGTGCTACTTTGTCCGATTGTCCATCCGACAACCGCTTGAGYTCTTTGATCATTTTCTTGTCAGGTTGCAGAGAGAGGAAGAGGAAGCGTATGCAAGCAGACAACAGARGACCCAATCACAGCCTTCAATCACACCCGTCAACAAGTATGAAGAAAGAAAGACAAAGGAGAGGTCCAGCAAAGTCACCACAGTCACAAAATTTTTCACTCCATCAACAAAAACACCTCCAAAAAAAGGTAAACATCGAGGTGGACAACAGTCTTTGTTTCATTTATTTATTTTCTAAAAACCCTTTTACTGACCCAAAACACCTTTGCTTTCTTTGTAAGCCTGTATGGTGTTTTGATGTTTGTTTGTTTGTTTGTTTGTTTGTTTTTTGTTAGAGTTCTAATATTTCTGACAGGTGTGTTTCTCTGAGTGGGAAATGAACTTGAGACTCCATGTTTGTCAGTCACTGTGTAAAAAAAAGTATATTAAGAATGTCTCCAATAGGAAACATTTCTTTTACACTGAATAATTTGATGTGATGAAGCTCATTTTAGGAGCCGTAAATTAAGAAGTATTCATGTTTCAAGTCACAAATTATATCCTCTAGGTGTGTCAGTCTGCAGTGATAAAAATGGCACCCGAACCCTTTTTTTCTAGCTCTGCCCTTCAGTTTTCTTGCGCAGAGCGAAGTTGCACTGCACGAAACTTGAAGTAATTTGTGTTACACTTTCCCCAGGCTGTTTGAAAACCTAAACACAGGTATAGGATTGCGGCACAAAGCGTTCGCCACCKCATGTTACGTGGAGACATCCGGGAAGGGTGTTCAAAGTTTTTGTAGCTTTGATGAAAGTAAAGTTCAGCCTCCTTTCCCAGATGCTTCTTCGTTTGAGACGCAGTCCACCCCGAGCCCCAGCTCCTCGGYGAGTCGACACTCGACAGCGGACAGCGACCGTGCGGCGGTGGAGTTCATCCATTTTCTCAAGCCTTTGAAGTCTGGCAGAGAAATCTTCAAGCAGTGTCGAGCTTTCACTGAGGCCATGGTGTATAAACGGGTGAGCAAGTCCAGACAGCCTGTTAAAATGACTTCTGCTTTCAATTTACTTTTCATTCGAGATTGTTTTTCTTATTTACAGGTCAAATATGAGTGTTATTGTATGATGGAGAAAGAAAATTAAGTTGGATTTATTACCATCCATTTATCCTTTAAGTTAAACATGCTGTTTTTGTAAATAACATTAACAACTTTGATTTTAGTTGTGTTTTTTTAAACTCAACTCTGTATTTATTTAAGCTAAAATATTTATTTTGAATCTTTGTTCAGGACACCGGGGTCGATGAACTGTCTGACAGCGTGCAGGACTTCTACCAGAACCTCTCAGAGGGCCGCATTGTCCCGCTCAAAGGTGCGTCATCAGTCGTAAATCCAAGAAACGTTTGAAGTTGCTAATGATATTCACAAGAAATTATATATTGCTCACTGTAGTGTGCATTTTCATTGCATCAATTTGTTTATCGGCTTCTTAGGTTCATCAGATCACATGGAGAGAATTATGGATGAAGTAGAGAAGTACATGATGACTCGCCTCTACCAGGAAGTATTCTGTCCCGAGACTACAGATGATGAGAAGAAAGACCTGGCCATTCAGAAGAGAATCAGGTTTGCAAACAAAAGATTGAATTTTTACTGCWGGTGTTCAAAGAGAAGCAGAGAAGTTAGATTTCCCTGATTGTGTTTTGTTACAGAGACTTGCACTGGGTCACCATAGAGATGCTGTGTGTGCCTGTAAATGAAGAGATCCCTGAGGTCTCTGACAGTGTGGTCAAAGCTATCACAGGTGAGTCCCTCTTCAGTTTGTTTTACAGAGAACAGTAATCCCTTTCGGTTAATATCGTCTCTCGTATTTCTGCCTCGTTTCAGTCGTCATCGAAATGGATTCCAAGCAAGTCCCCAAAGACAAGCTAGCCTGCATAACTCGATGCAGCAAACACATCTTCAACGCCATCAAAGTGAGCAAGAAGGCGGCTGCGTCTGCGGACGACTTCCTCCCAACTCTCATTTACATCGTGCTGAAAGCAAACCCCCCACGGCTGCAGTCCAACATCCAGTACATCACACGGTTCTCCAAACCCAGCAGGCTCAGGACCGGAGAGGACGGTTACTACTTCACTAATCTGGTGAGGAAATGACTTTAACAGCACCACGAACTACATCCTTTGATGTCCAGTTGGCACCAGATGTAGCTAATAGGGATGGGTATTGTTAAGGTTTTATTGATACTACTGCTCTAATCGGTACTGCTTATCGATCTGGTATTTTAACGGTTCTCTTATCGATATTTTTCTAATGGAATAAAACCAGTGTTTGCCCCTAGGGAATTGGTTTTGTGTGTATGTGGGTGGGGGTTACACACACAAAGTAAATAAAATAAAAAAAAACAGTGCACGTGACTCTGTGTGGGTCATTGTTGGTGACAGAATATGAACCATATTTTCCAYGTCCTTGGTGACAGATAATCCACAGAAAGATACAGTATGATAGTGACGTCGAGCGGTCAATGCTAAAGTTACTCAATCGATTCTTTAGTTTAAACATGGCACTATGCTCCAAAAATAGAATACTTTACCGGAGCATCCGGTCAGAGGCAGGTTCTGTTAAACAAGCAGGTCAGATAATTATTTAATCAGCTCTGACAGCACAACAACTTCAGAATCAACATACTAAGAACTAGCTTCCATAGGTTACTTCTGTAAACACCGCGCTGGATGAATGAAATGTCACGTCTTTTTCTGCGCGGGCAGCGAGTTGCTAGCAGCCTGTGTTGCTAGCAGCCTGTGTTGCTAGCAGCCTGTGTTGCTAGCAGCATGTGTTGCTAGCAGCCTGTGTTGCTAGCAGCATGTGTTGCTAGCAGCCTGTGTTGCTAGCAGCCTGTGTTGCTAGCTGCATGTGTTGCTAGCAGCATGTGTTGCTAGCAGCATGTGTTGCTAGCAGCCCCTCCCCTTTGAGTTGAGGAGAGCTCAGAGTGAGAGGGGAGAGAGGAAAATAGAGCTTGTTCTAAACAACACAACATGCGCCGTGTCCGCACTATACCGGCACAGTTAATGATATGGTTATTTCTGGAGCTTATCGATCCGGTCAAAATTCATCACGATGAACCGGTACTGAAAAAATACCGGTTTTCGGTAGTATCCCTAGTAGCTAATGTGAAATTTATGGTGGTGTAAAGGTTTATAAGCTTTCTTATGGATCAATCAAAAAATTTTAAGGCTGGAGTTTTTTTAAGACACTTGTCTTAGTCTCAATAAAACAAAGTGGCCGGCGAGTGTTTTCTTTCTGGTCTTTTAAATCTGATCGTCCACTCATTGTGTTTGTTTTTAAATGTTTGTTGATTTTGTTCACCAGTAACATCTGTTTTAATAAAGTGTTAGTGAATGTGAGTCAATCAGTTTGTTTCAACAACAAAACAACATAAAATATAAAAGCAAATCTGAGGCCACAGGTTGTTGATGCTGCAGAGGTGAGATTTATTTTAACCCCCACTCCATGTTTTCTCCTCAGTGCTGCGCAGTGGCYTTCATAGAGAAGCTGGACAGTCAGTCTTTGAACCTGAGCTCTGAGGAGTTTGAGCTCTACATGTCGGGCCRGGCGTCCCCCCACTGGCCACAGTCCACGGGAGCCACGGCCACGGGCAGCGCCGCTCTCACTCAGRCCCACAACAGCCTGGACCTGCTGACCGGGCTGGGCGAGAGGCAGGAGCGCGTCTTGGAAAAGGCTCGCCAGATGGAGAGCGACCTCATCGACTGGACGGATGAAGTGGAGCAGTCGGTGCAGAGCGCGCTGGAGAGCTTCCCGCTGGAAACGCGAAACCCCGCTCCAGCCGAAGTTAACGGGACGGAGCCCGCCGCKTCGTCGGCGATCGACTCAGATAACGTTGAGAGCGAGCTGCTGCCCCCGCCGCTGACACCGCAGGTGTTTGCCGGCTGACACCAAAACTACTCAGCAGAGAAACCACTAACAACTTGACTTTGCCTTCTCCTTCTTTCTTGCTGTTAAAGCTTGCTGTCCGTATGCACATCCAGCAGCTGCTGAATCTGGATCACATTTCCTCTCAGACATTTCTGTTCCTTCCTTCTGTTGACTCCAAGGCTGAGAAACAAACTGAAAATTAACGTAGACGATGAACTGGGGGACAAATTAGGCATTTTAGCAAAAAGACTTCAATCTAAGCTCTTCCAAGACACGTCTGTTTGTCATGAGTACCTCGGTACTTTTTATTGTTGTTACATTTGTGCAGTGTGGTTGCAAGTTTCTCAAACATTTAGACATTTATTTTTGGGGAGGATGGAACCAATCTAATAAGTCAGCAGGAAACCTGAGCAAAATACGTTTTAAAATAATAAAATTAGAAAATCAAAAATTTTATATCGCTGAAATGACCTTCCAGCTTATCGTGCTTGTTGTTTGGGCTGGATTTAGTCAGTATTTCCTAATGCTCTGACAAGAAATAGTGACGAGGTTTGTGTGTGTGTGTGTGTGTGTGTGTGTGTTGTGTTCACATGGATAAATCCATATGTTTGTGTATATTGTTTTCATGCCAGATTCCAGTTATGAGCTGGATGTACAGAAGTGATTTTATTTTTCTATAGAGTGGCAGATATTGATCCTTCTCGATGATGTTAAACCTGTAATATTTACAGTAGCTAAAGAAATTCAAAGATGAGTTTTGATTTTTGAGATTCTCAAGAGGCTGCATGTCTGCTATAAAAAGAGCAGTTTTAGGTGATATAGTTTTATTATATTTTGCTCTATCAGAGCTTTTAATTTAATTAGACAAAAAAAAGTTTCACCGCAGCTTCAAACTCACTCCTAAGCCCGTAGCTGCTCTGTTTGTGGAAATTTTGTTCTCAAGCAGTTTTGTATGATTTTAACGCTCCGAATTCGAGGTAAAGTGATGGGTTCTCGGGTGGCACGGGGGCGCAGTGGGTAGAGCTGTCGCATGAACTGATGCATGTTCTCTTCATGCTTATGTGGGTTTTCTCCGAGTACTCCGGTGTCCTCCCACAAACCAAATTCACGCATGTTAGGTGCATTGGTAACTCTAAATTGCTGTCCAGGGGAGATGAAATTAAAAGCAAACAGCAGGTGCAAACTGTTTCAAATGTGTAATTTGGCCCTTTTAAAGTGAGGGAAAAGTTTTTACATCTTTTCACACTTTTGTCCCAAACTAAGATTTTATTTTTCTGTTAATGTTACTAATCTTGAATCTTTTGTTGACGTTTGTAACCGGACGCTCAGCTTGCAGCAGCTGCTGGGTCTTACTGCAGATTTCAACTACTTGAACTACCTGTTTTTGCACTGTATGCAGACATTATTTATTTAGCATTCAAAAACTTTTTTTTGTTTGTTTGTTTCCTTACAAGTTTGTTTCTCTATCTCATTGACTTTATACTGCCTTTAATTTAAAATTAACTTATTGGGACAGTTTTATTGGCTTCTGAAAGTGTGTGATGATCAATAAAAACAGAATGCTTTAAGACTCGACATTATTTTTACGTTGCTGCACTGATTATGAAGTCCACACTAAATTTCACCTTTATCCAGTGACCTCTTGTTAAATAAGAAGCGTCACATAACGTGGAAGAAATTATGTCTGATATTTTCCCTTGAATTAAAGGTAAAATAGGTTTAAATGACCTTTAAAATGGATTGATATTTGTTTTGGTATTTTAGTCTAATATTCAGCATTTTATTTTAGATTAAATTGCCACATTAACAATTTAACTTTAAAAATGGCCTCTCAGTAAAAAGAAGTTTGAAAAAAAAAGGATTCATTCTCTGTTTTTCCAATTTTATCTTAAACTAGTGTCATGGTTCTGTTTTTTCCTCTGAATGGGCGTTGGCACGATTTCAGCTGAAACTCTTTTTCAGTTCCTCTATTTCGTCTCGAGTTTCTTCATTTACAGGAAATCATTTTGAAATAAGGTAAAACCACAAATATATATTCACATTTAAATAGATGCATACAATAATTCATATACATATAAATATATGTACATACATACATATACATATACTGTATATATACTGTATATATATACACACACATATTCATGCAGCTGTAGTACAATTGTTGAAAAACTATTTACCGGTACAATGCAGGGAAAATAGAAGATCTCACCAATATTACCGGAATATAGAATTTATTTATTTTTTATATTTTATTTCATATGCATTACAGACTAAAAGTTTGGACACACCTCATTCAAATTTTTTTTATTTTATTTTCATGACTGAAAATTGTAGATTGTGTGAATCTTGAAGGCATCAAAACTATGAATTAACACGTGGAATTTTATACTTAACAAAAAAGTTTGAAAGACCTGAAAACAAGTCTTATATTCTAGGTTCTTCAAAGTAGCCACCTTTTGCTTTGATTACTGACTCACACACTCTTGGCATTCTCTTGATGAGCTTCAGGAGGTAGTCACCTGAAATGGTCTTCCAACAGTCTTGAAGGAGTTCCCAGAKATGTTTAGCACTTGTTGGCTCTTTTGCCTTAACTCTGCGGTCCAGCTCAACACAAACCATCTTGATTGGGTTCGGGTCTGATGACTGTGGAGGCAGCTCCCCATCACTCTCCTTCTTGGTCAAAYAGCCCTTACACAGCCTGGAGGTATGTTTGGGATCATTGTCCTGTTGAAAAATAAATGTTGGTCCAACTAAATACAAACCGGATCTTGCTGCTGCAAGATGCTGTGGTAGCCATGCTGGTTCCGTATGCCTTCAATTTTGAATACATCCCCAACAGTGTCACCAGCAAAACACCCCCACACCATCACACCTCCTCCTCCATGCTTCACAGTGGGAACCAGGCATGTAGAGTCCATCCGTTCACCTTTTCTGCATCGCACAAAGACACGGTGGTTGGAACCAAAGATCTCAAATTTGGACTCATCAGACCAAAGCAGAGTTCMACTGGTCTRATGTCCAYTCCTTGTGTTCTTTAAMCYRAACAAGTCTCTTCTGCTTGTTTCCTGTTCTTAGCAGTTTCCTATCAGCTATTTTACCATGAAGGCCTGATTCACACAGTCTCCTCTTAACAGTTCTAGAAATATGTCTGCTGCTAGAACTCTGTGTGGCATTGACCTGTTCTCTAATCTGAGCTGCTGTTAACCTGACATTTCTGAGGCTGGTGACTTGGATGAACTTATCGTCTGCAGCAGAGGTGACTCTTGGTCTTCCTTTCCTGGGGCGGTCCTCATGTGAGACAGTTTCTTTGTAGCGCTTGATGGTTTTTGCGACTTCACTTGGGGACACTTCCAAAGTTTTCCTGATTTTTCTGACTGACTGATCTTCTTTTCTAAAAGTAATGATGGCCACTCGTTTTTTCTAAACTTAGCTGCTTTTTTCTTGCCATAATACAAATTCTAACAGTCTAATGAGTAGGACTATCAGCTGTGTACTGTATCCACCTTCTGCACAACACAACTGATGGTCCCAACCCCATTTATAAGGCAAGAAATCCCACTTATTCAACCTGACAGGTCACACCTGTGAAGTGAAAACCATCTCAGGTGACTACCTCTTGAAGTCATCAAGAGAATGCCAAGAGTGTGTGAAGCAGTAATTAAAGCAAAAGGTGGCTACATTGAAAAACCTAGAATATAAGACATATTTTCAGTTGTTTCACCTTTTGTTAAGTATAATTCCACATGTGTTAATTCATAGTTTTGATGCCTTCAGTGTGAATGTACAATTTTCATAGTCATGAAAATAAAGAAAACCCTTTGAATGAGAAGCTGTGTCCAAACTATTGATCTGTGTGTGTGTGTGTGTGTGTGTGTGTGTGTGTGTGTGT